ATAGATAGATAGATAGATAGATAGATAGATTTTATTTGACTACGTTATGTAAAAAGAAAAAACATTTGTAGCAAGTCATATCATTCAATATAAAATGTAAAACTAGGAAGAATGTGTCAGTTTATAGTAAAATACCGACTTAAATAAATATAACTGAAATACAAATTGCCTAAAACGCACGTACAGTCGTGCAATATTTAAAATAGAGGAAGAACTTCTTCATATATATATAAATACAATAAATGGGTTCTGCATATCAACGTACAGTGTTCTATATGTCCATGTGGGAAGATGCAAATTCTTCCACAGAGTAGAAACAATTTTTAAGAAGGTAACATTTTAGTTTTTTTTTGAAATTCTGTAGTGGAAGCTGCCTTATTCTCTCCGGTATTTTATTGTAAAGCCCTAGGGGAGGGGAGTTGTTTTTTGATTTTGTAAGTCGAAAAGACTGTGTTTTCAGGAGATTAGATGATCGGGTGTTATAGGTATGGGACTCTGACATTTATGGGACGGTCGCAATGAATCAAGACCTCCACAAGAACCGGTGCGAAAAAATCTCACTGCTCTGAGAATATCTACGCTTGTAACTTCCAGAGGACTATGAGAAGTTGTATACTGTCCAGAATTGTATAAACTTTCAGAAGCAGGATGTTTACTTCGTAATTCTTCCGATGTTGCAGCATCAAATTCAGCAGGGTTTGGTGGGTATCATGGAGGATTATTACATGTGACGATAAGGATCATTTTTGTTGCGCAAAGGCAAAGGAAAACAGACCTCGAAACGTGCCACTTCAAGCTTTTTGACCTTTCCAATACGTTTTAAACCAAGGGTGCTCAACCGCGGTCCACGATGTGGCCCACAAAAGAATTTTAAATTGACCGCGCAAGTAAGTTTTGAAATACGCACCAAATTAAAAAATCCTGCCAATTGCCTGCCGCAGTTCGAACTCGTTGAACTGCAAAATCACGATACGGTAAAAAACCTTTTTGCCAACAAATTGTCTTCGAAAGCACACGATTCTTCAGAAGATTTTGCAGATTTCTGGAAATTGGTACCAAAAGCAGAATTTCCAGCAATAACTGACCTGGCGTTAGAGTTTTTAAGTAGTTTTAGATCAACGTATGTGTGTGAAAAGGTATTTTCAGACCTTAATTATGTAAAAAATAAATATCGCACATCCTCAACTGAGCAACATGTTTATGACTTGTTACTATCAACATCGGATTTGTCGCCTAACATAAGTAAATTATTAAAAGACAAACAATGGCAGAAATCACATTGATCGTAACAACGACTTACCCAAGATTTAGATTTGAGAAGATACATGCTTAAGTTCAATTTTCTTTCTTTATGTAGCTGCTAAATTTTAGCATAAGATACTCTTTGTTTGTTCATAATATTACAAAATAAACAAAAATGTAATTTTATTTCTTAATATTGGGTTTTTATTGCGCATGTCTTGAGAGTAATCGAAATAGGAATTGTCAGAGGTCCGTCGTGAATTCTGAAACCACAGTTTAGCCCGACTGTTAAAAAGGTTGAGCAGCTTTGTTTAAAACCATCAAAAACCGCATGGGAGCTGACGTCCAGTTATTAAGACATCCCACGGACCGTTTGTGATTGTTATATATTAGAATGAAATAAAACGCTTCCGGCTCACAACTACACATATATTCTTAATTCCAAAACCAAACAACAACTGAACTCCGTTTCCCACGAGTCGGTAGCTCATGTAAAAAAATGTACAATAAAAACCTTTGTTTTTATACATGATCCGATATCTAACACCTTCCCTTTTCAACAATTGCACTCGGAAACCAATATCATTAGATATGGGAACATCTAATAATTTCAGGAATATATACAAATATATATACATATATACAAATTATACAAATATACAATGAATATATACCCACAACCAACCAACGATTATGGACGGTACAGGATTGCTTACTTTTGCGATTTTGTTAGACACGTCACGTGATATCGTGACGTAACAGTGGTGACTCTGGATTGATTCGGTACTGCACTTTTAAATTAAAATAAACAAAATTCATGTAAATTCCTTATTAAAATATTATTTTTATATAGGATTAAATACTTAATATAAATGGATTGATACTAAGTAAAAATTTTTTTTGTGGATGATAGGGCGAGCCATTTTTCCCTTTTTAAAAGTAAGAGGTGTCATCAGTTTTTATTATTTTCGTGAAAACTGTAACTCCCATAAAAATTTTGTAATGAACTTTGTTTTAAATAATAGCATTATCTAAAAAAAATGTATAACTTTTTGTTCCATCTTTTATAATAAACGCTCAATAATCAAAAATATATATAAGTAATAAATTGTTTATAGGTGTAACAACTTTTTTTATTTATCTGACAGAAAATACATGATACGGTTTTTATTTTTTATTATTCTCCTTGGATATTTTGTTGATCAGCTTGAGGTTGAGGAGATACAATATTATGAGGAAAAGAGCAACTTTAAGATGTGGATGGTTTAAAATTATCCAAATTTGATTCAAGTAACATACTGATAGTTTCACTGTGTTTTTTCTGTAAGGCTCTAATATTGCGACTTGTATTCTGTAAAACTTCCCTCTCTTTATCAATTGTTGGATAACTTAGGTTAACACTAGGTACTGCAGTTTTTTTCATTTACGACGCAAAGGCAAACCTACAAAAAAACATATTTATTATGAGCAGTAAATTAAAAGAATACATTTTTACCTAACAATTCATTTTCAAGGTATCGTTCATAATCATTTTCTGCAAAATATTTGGAACAAACAAATCCATTTTTGAGAATGAATGTATCCCCTCTTTTGCAGCGACGAATCCATTCTTTTTGCAAAGTTGTGCAAAAAGGAAAATAGTGAAATATTACATCAGTAACACCACTTTTCTTTAAAGTCAACTGATTTCTTTTGCAAGTTGACACTGCACAAATACGACCAGGCATTTTAACTAAAAATTATAAGGTTATTTGATGATTAGACAATTATTGCAATTTACTTACAAAACTGTGAATATTTCCAATTTTTACCTTAATTCAATTTAAAAATGTTCAAAAAACATAAAAGTTCTACAATGGCAAAAAACAAACAGAATCTTATGTGGCGTCTACTCGTTACACCGGTTTAAAAAATGTCCAAAAGCACAAAAAAAATAAATAATCCAAAAGAAAATTATCACAATCAGTGGCACATAAATTGTTGAAATTTTCAAGAAATTCTGTCTCTAGATGAATGATACATTGTAAAAATGAATCTGGAGGCATATACAGGGTGTAACTGAATAAGTGTAAAACATTTAAGGAAGTGATTCCTCATAGAATGAAAGATATGATCTTTCATATAAAGAAACTTCATTGGAGCATCCCTTGTTAAGATACATCCCCTTAAAGGGGGTACATAAAATGTGTATAACAATTGTTTTCACAAGCGCTGAAAAAGTTATAATATTGAAATTAACCTGACGTTTTGTACTACCAAAAAGACATTTAGTCAGTAATTCATTTGGTTTACCCCATGGTTATAAGGGGTGGAAAACGCAACCTCTGAAATTTATTTCCAATTTAACTTTTTGTCTTATTAATTTTTTACCATTTGAAAATTTATTTCCGATAGCCTGTTTCATTCTAAACAAAAAATGTCTCTTGGGTTTTTTGCCCAAAATAAACCAGTTCGCAGCAAAAAATTATTTTACGAACAACTACAGAGATACATCGTCATAATTGCGAACTGAATTTATTGTTATTCTGTAGTTAGTACCTGCATTAAACGATTAAAAGGTAGTAAACAAAACTAATTTATTAATAACAAAACACACAACTTATAGAACTCATAGTAAATATTCAATACAAATATTCCTGGAGTCTCTTTGATTACCCTGCACGCATCGATGATGCGGTTTCTTAAGTCCTCTATATCGCGAACAGGAGTACGATAAACCAAATGTTGTAAATGGCCCTAAATAGAGAAATCGAGAGGATTGAGATCCAGGGATCGAGCGGGCCAGTTCTGTGGTCCTCCTCGACCTATCCACTGATTTGCATGTTTCAGTTAAATGCTGACGTGCTACTTGACTAAAATGGGTGGGAGCCCCATCATGCATAAAAAACATATCCGTTCTGACGCTCAAAGGAACTTCCTCCAGCAGTACTGGATGCACTTCTCTTAAAAATTGAACGTATGCCTCACCATTTAATCGAGGAGGTAGAAAATGAGGCCCAATTAAATCATCCCCAATAACTCCGAGCCACACGTTAAGAGAAAACTGTTCTTGATGGTTAGTTTCGACAATAGCGTGAGGGTTTTCATCAGCCCATATGTGGTAATTATGAAAATTAATAATCTTGTGCCGAGAAAAACTACATTCGTTTGTGAATTCTATCGTCTTAAGAAAGTCACAATTTCTTCTAATCATTTCCAGCATCCAATTGCAAAATTCAAGACGGTTCGGAAAATCTCGCGGTAACAGTGCCTGTACTCGTTGCAGATGGTAAGGGTATAAGAGTTGTTCCTTTAAAATTCGAAATACCGTCATATGACCAACATTTAGCTGGAAAGCAATCTTTCTAATACTGGTAGTAGGTTGTTGCCGTTGAGGATACATTTCAGCATATCTTCCAGATGCTTCCAACCCATTCCCCTGCGACAGACCGTAAACGTAATGCATATCAGCCATTTCCTCATTTGTCTATGCCATTTTAATAACAAGTGAATTATTGAATGAGGAATCACCTCCTTAAATGTTTTACACTTATTTAGTTACACCCTGTATAAACTTCCAAACTGTTTGGCAACTGTATTACTATATGCCTTGAAATTACTATATACTTACATTTGTTTCATTCAGTGTCGTACTAGCTGCCGTGACAAAATTTATACTATCTTCTCATGAATGTTTTCTTAAACATTTTCTCAAAAAATATCCACAAACATAGCCCAACCTGTTGCCTTCTGGAGTGGCTAGAGTTCTATAATCATTTGTCCCTACTCTCAAAGTTTTTTATAGGGATTTTTTGGACTTCCACAAGAAACTTCCTTCTATTTATGTCTGCATCTGTAATACTACATAGAATCTCACTAATATCTTCTAGACAGTTAGTTCCTTCTGCCTGTGTGAAATACTGAAGAGTAAATGTGTTTTTGAAAGCTCTGGTAATTTGAATAGGAGTTGGGTTTCTGGCATTTCCACAAGTATTTCTAAGTTGATCAAAATAATTTTCCACAGTCCTGATTTATATTCCTTGTCAATATAGGAGTGTCTTTCACTATGTAGGTTTTCCCAAAGTTGCAGAAATGCCGAAATTGTTATCTGCCACCCCTCAATGAATCTCATTTGTCCAGTCGTGTTTTTTTCTTTTTTTATATTACAGTTGATTTGCTAGAAATTATAAAACAACGATGAAAATGAAAACAACAATGAAAATTAATTGGCGCTCCGAGGCGACTTCATTGATTCCAGTGGCGCATTTGCTTTTTCAGCTGCAGAAAAACCCGGAAAAACCTGCAGTACCACATCATCTGAAGACCTTGATTTGCCAAAGTCCTCTCTCTCATAGAACAAAATGTAGGGCGTCTCCAGAGGCTCCAATAGATTCCATACATCACCAGAACACTTCCTGACACGACTATCGTCAAACTCAAATCAGTCCGTTTCGTCTTTGACCAAGGCGTAATAATGACCAAATTCAACGCCAGAACAACAGTGAACAATGACTGCATGAATATTATAATAGTGGTCTGCTAGATTGAAATGTTTATCTATTTCGAACCTTCGAAAGAGTTTCTTGCTTCCGTCAGAGGTTGAGTCTTGTTTGAAGATCATCAGTGTGCTTTAAGGAAAAAGAAGGACATTACCTTTACTGGCGGAAACAAAATAGTGTGCTGCCAAACCGAATATGTAAGTGAAACTGAGACGAACCCGATTCCAGCATTCTACAACAAACACTTTCTGAGCTGATTGAAGACGGAAATTGGAAAATCAATCATATAAATAAATTGAACGAAGGAAAAACTAAGATAATTAATTAGTGAGGCGCTTGAGATGAAAACTATATTAAATGACAAAATAAACAAACAACAAAAACTCATCAGTGAATTGAAGATCGAAGTCATATCTTTGAAACAAAAAGTAACAAATAGTGTGATTGAAACAAAAACTGTTGAAACGCAAACTGACCAAAAGCAACAAAACATAGGAACATCGATATGCCATTACCACGACATTGACATGGATAAAACACCAAAGGAATTCCATGTGACAAAAAAGACGATGTATGTTTTGACAAACAGTCTAGAACAGGCAATGTCTCATTGGGGACACAAACATACAGGGTGATTTAAACAGAGATATGAAGAAATCTGCAAATTTCGAACACAAAATTAATAACCAAATAGAAGTAAAAAAAAATCATGCAAAATCAACAAAACAAAGAGCAAAACTAAAGCTAGAGAAAAGAGTAATGAAAAAAGGAAAGTACCTGGTAAGAAGACAAATCTTAAGAAGAGTTTTGATTTTGAGGTAACAAAAATAAACGACATTTATATTGGTGGTAACTCCGCTGAACAAACAGTTGATGAAAGCAAAGTGATTACTAAATGCTCTACTACTATTACGGCATCAGCTGGCGATGACAGAGCAGAAGTGCTTCCAAAAACAATTCAGAGACAAGAGTGTATTATCACTTGCAAAGAAGCATCTACTCCAGCTGCAAAAACACTACTGGTCATTGGAGATGAATACACAAAAAATGTTCCTTCTGTACTAAAAAAATCAATAGACGTATCCAAATACCATGTAAAAGAAATATTCAACTCCAACGCAGAACTTGCTGATTTGGTTAAAAACATTTTTCATGAAACTATAAATTTTGGTAGTGATGATTATGTTATTGTCATGTTCAATACTTGCCATGTAAGTAATAATCGCCTTTTAAATCTAGCACTAAGACAAATATTGCCTCTGGGTAATGTCACTAACATCTTGATAATTCCTGAGAGAAACTCATCTTATGATGAAATCTTAATAAATATACTGAACAACAGAATCAAAAACTTCAGACTAAAGAATCGTAACTGTTCTTTAAAAATATTCATTGACCGCCAGGCAAAAGAAAGTAAATCTGTTATTCTTGAGAATATAAAAAATTCCCTCTGAGAACCAAACAATTGTTTCGCTTTAAAAACTGTAATGCTTGACTACAAACCTAATACTAATGACATCGTTTAAGCAGCCTGGATTGACAGAAGGTCCCAGGATAAAAATGAATCTTTTTTAGTGAATCACAGAGAACCCATGACAAAAACCTGAATCTTATGAATATCAATCCAGAATTTAATACATCTGTCCACAATAGCTTTATTGACAATAAGACCAGTAGTACCAATATCTATTTCAGACCAAAATATGCCACGTTAATGTTCAGGGATTTTTGAATAATTTGAACTCGGTAGAATGCTTTGTAAAAACTCACAATATTGACATAGCATGTCTATTTGAACATTGGATCAGTCATGATTGTTTTAATAATGTTTATTTCACTGATTATATGATTGCAGCATCTTTTTGTAGAAGTGATCATATTCGTGGTGGAGTTTGTATTTTAACAAAACAAGACATTGAATTCAGGGAAATTGTCGTAATAAAACAACTATCCATTGAGTGCCAAATAGAAATATGCGGTATCTACTGTAAGGTAAAAGTGTAAAAATTGTTATCATAACCGCTTATTAACCTCCAAATAGTGATGTATATTTGTTTTTCGATTGTTTGTTGCAGACACTAAAAATTGCAGAGAAAAAATCTCATAACATTATTCTTTGTGGGGACTTCAACATTGACTTCCTAGCGAATGCAACCAATACTAAATTACTGACAGACCTCTTTGTTTCATTTCAATTAAAGAATAATATGTTCGGTCTAACAAGGATATTTACTAACATTAATGGTCAGACAAGTAAAATATGTATTAACTATATGGTCACTACATTACATGATGCTAACTATGATTGTAAGCTTATCCAACCTAACATTGCTGACCATCTATCGCATATGGTCATTCTCAAGACAGATATTTCTAAGAGAGTAAATGCATGCAACCCTAGTAAATCAATAATGAAACGAATAGCTAATCCAAATAATATAAATGAATTTCGAATTGGACTGAATGGTATAAAGTGGTGTCCAATTTTATATATGTCTATACAAAAAGGCTTTGCCTTTTTCCTAGAGTCTCTGTCCTGGTGTTTTGATGTATCATCTCCAATAAAACAAAGTAAAGTTAAGAAGCCTAAAAACTCATGGATAACTAACGATGTTGTTCAAGAAGGAAAATGCTTAAGAGAAATGTTCTATCTGATCACCAGTTATGAAGAAATCGATGCCCAAAGCATGCTTACATATAAAATAAGATTGAGAGAACATAAAAGAACAATCAAACAGAATAAAATTAACTATTTTTCTAAAAAAAAAAATTGGGAATGCAACCAACAAAACGAAGGAGACATGGAAAATAATAAATAGCGAACTAGGGAAACCAATGCATTTTGATGCTGGGGAGGGGGGCATTACTTTAAACTATAATTCAAACTCAGTTGGGAATGTGCAAAATACATCTGAATTATTTGCTCAGTACTTCTCAAACACTGTTACATCTATCATAGCCATCAACTTTGGACAGAATTTAACCCTACCCTGCACCAGTAGTAGGAATTTCAGTATCCAACACCCCTTTGATAACAGCCCAATATTAGAATCTGAAATATATGACGCTCTTAGATCAATGAAAAATAAGACGTCGACAGGCATTGATGAAATATCAATAATTGCAGTTAAAGATATAATCAGTGCTATAATTGATCCACTTACCTATTTGATGAACCAATCTTTCATTCAAGCGTACTTCCCAAAGGAATTTAAAAAAGCTTTGGTAATTATTCCCCTATTTAAAAAAGGAAATCGTGCTGAGATTGATAACTATAGACAGATCTCTCTATGCTCGCTCTCAAAATTATATGAGAAAATTGTAGCCTCCAGAATAAGGGAGTATGTAGAAATCAACAACATATTATGTAACAACCAGCATGGTTTCAGGAAAAATCGTTCCATAGGAACAACCTCCTATCACTTTCTCGGCAAAATATATTCCAACTTGGACGCTGGTAACTTTGTTATAAGTGTATTCTCTGACTTGTTAAAGGCATTCGACTCTGTGTCATGGAATTTTCTGTCTAATAAGTTGATTGGACTTGGTCTTCCAAACAATGTATTAAGATGGTAAGGCTCCTATATGGAGAGGCGCTGTATGTCAGTCAAATGAGCATGCTGTTGAACTGGGCGTTCCTCAGGGCTCAGTTTCAGGACCATTATTATTCATTATATTTATCAATGATTTGCCTGAATATGTGAGGGACTGCCACATAACGATGTTTGCAGATGACAGTCACTGGACTATGGACGACGTGGTGATCAAAATTAGTAACATTATCGATGAATTCACTTCTTGGTGTGAACGCAACCGACTAGTCTTGAACACCTCAAAATCAGTGACAATGAAATTCTATAACAGAAATGATAATACTCAAGATGCAGTATTCTCTATTGATGAAATAGATATGTCACAAGAAGTAAAATTTTTAGGAACAATTGTGGATGAAGCCTTTAATTGGAACTCTCATATTGATAGTGTCTGCAAGAAACTCAATAAAGCAGATGAAAAACTGTGTAGATCAGAAAAGTCTGATTAGCATCTATTATGCAATGGCTTTTTCACATATTTTCTTGAACATCATGTTTTGGGGGTGCGGTTCGGATTTCAACAGGACAGAAACGTATTCTGAGACTAATTTTTGGCATGGAATATCGTGAAAGTTTTAAACCAGTGTTCATAGGAATGAAATTGCTATCTGTCCCAGCACTGTATATTTTTAAATGTGTAGTTTTTATTAGAAAACATCTTACAACTCTCACAACTAATGGATCCTCTCACAATTTTTATACACGTCATGCTGATCAATTGATAATACCCCTCCACAGGACAGCTAAATTCCAAAAATCACCCGTATATAATGGGATCATCCTATATAATAAACTGTCAACTTCGATTAAGAGTTTGAAATCTGAAAATGTGTTCTATAACCTTGTTAAATCCTTGCCCATTGAAAAGTGTTACTATGCAGTCGCCAGGAATACCTAAACGATAATTTAATGTAGTTATTTTCTGAATAAGTCTAATGTGAATATTATAAATGTTATTTATTAGTGTTATAATAGTATGCTTTTTGTTTTTAATTAACCTGCCATATGTACATATTGTACCCATTGACGAAAATAAATTACTATTAATTTTATTATTATAATATAAGATATATCTTACTGACAATTGCTTTTGTAAGA